ACCATCTACATTTCATCGGTGAGATCAACCGTTTGTGTGTTTGTGTGTATGAATGTTGGGCTGTGTTAGCATCGCGGAGTCAATAGTAGGGTATATCAGAAAAAGTCAGTAGAATTTGTCTCCCCGAGTTACTCCACACACCACATGAGCTAAAGTAATCCCTCCACTGCTGTGCTGACACACAACACGGAGTGTGCGGTTGATGAGGCTGAGAGGAGCCTCCTTCCTGTCTTCCTGCCAACGACTGTTCAACATCGCAGTTGTCTTCCGCTTGCGGTAAAAGGGAAACACGCTTGGAACACACTTCCACTCAAAAGCATCTTTCACTCGATTCCACAAAGTTCCACTTCTCCCTTCTGAGATGATGCAAATGCAAGTGCAACCTGGAAACGATTGTTGTGTGGCTGCTTCAAGGCCATTTATCATTCCGCATCGCGAAATCTATCCACCTTTCCTTGAAGCTGACTGACTTGACTGACTCCACATAATCCACCCCTGACGATGGAGGATGCTGAAATTGGAGTAGGAATCGGAGTAGATGGACTGGCAAACGAAGCACCCCACAAGGCGGGATAAGGCGCAGATGAACTTCATTACTGTTGCATCCAACACTTGTTTGCGATTAGGTGTACGAATCCAACTAAAGTGTGGTAGCATCACTGCAAGCCAGCTTCGTGCGTCCAACCCACTTTGTTACTGTGCCAGTCGGTCGTCAATTTTCATCTTATGCTCCGTAACTTCATTGGTTTCGGCTACCAACGTCAGGACTCAACTCCGCATCTCAATTAGCGTGTCCATGTCGCTGGTGTGTTCTACCACCTCCACTAATTAATCAGCTAAGTCATTTTGAGGTCACCTCAGCACGAAATTGGTGTGACTGCTTCCACCACAACCGTATTCGCAACTGCACCCGCAACTGCGTCTCCATTCCCCATGTGGATGGACTCGACATGCTTCCGTTGAATGGCTACGCTTGATGCTGCGGTAGATATTGCATTTTTGATAGGAGAAAGAGGTCACTAGCCTGTCTTCACCATCTATAATATCATTACATTTTGACTTGCAGACCCAACATGAGGTGGATGCCGTGGATATCTCGGGTACCGTAAATACTTGCTTATCCGCCTGTCCCCTTGTGTATCATGTGCTGCCTCGAGCCAGGTGGCACTTCAGTTCAGTTTGGTGCAGTGCAGATCTTAGTGATAGCCAAGCACGTAGCACACATTGGGTGGTGTTGCGGTGGCAATAGGGAAGAGGAGGGAGGAGTGGATAGGGAAGAGAGGAGATGTGGGAAAGGGTATACAAGCACAGTGGATCTCGATCCACCGAAGGTCTCTCAACATCTGCTACTCGTGCTCCTTCCCCCTCTCCCCCCTCATTTTCTCTCCCTCCCTCTGACAGTACTGCTCACGGATTCGCTCACCCTGTCGCCAGTGCGTCACATGTCGGCTGCGTGAGGTGACGCTCATGCAAATAGGAACGAATGCCTGCGGCTTTGGTGGCCGCGTTGATTAGCACAACAATCGAGGCTAGTAGAGAGTGAAGGAGAGAGAAGACGGGAAGAGAGGAAGGGAGGCAGGAGGGGAGAAAGCAGGAGGGAGGAAAGGCAATCGGCGTCTCTGCCCACTGTTGGTGGACATCGTAGCTGTCCACAAGTGCGTGTGCACGCATGTGTGCGCGCACGCTCTCCCCACCATGACAGCCACCACTCCACTCACTACGACATTCGTGCTTCTATGCTTCTCGTCGCGTGTTATCCCGCTTCCTCAAGTCATTCGCAATGAATCACAATGAACAAATCACTTTTTTTCCTCCTTTTCACAGCCTTCCCTAATTTGGACAGCCATACCACCTGCATGGATGCGCCATGACTGATTCCTACCACCCGTCAGTTGACTGATTGCCCCCTTCTGTCAGTAATTCATGTTCACTCCCTTCGATAAAACTAGAAACCACTGTCTTTTGTTCCGCCTCCTTGTCCTCTGACTCTACTGCATTGAATACGCGTTCCACGCATGGGAAGCTGAAAGTCGGTTAAACTGCCACATACTACTACCCTTATTGGGAAGAGAGTGGGGGTAGGGGGTACGTTCATCTCGAATCCAATCCTCGTCTTCTGCCAATGCATGCATAATCGGCAACGCTTATTGTCTAAACTGAAAGTTAGAGAGAGGGCTAGAGAGGGAGAGGAGAGAATGCCACTCGAACTTCGTCAACCGTGTTGAACGTAGTTCAGTTGGATACCTCCTAGTGGGCTTTCGTGCACTCCGCCACTTCCCGATCGCATCATCAACTATGGTTGCAAAGGGCTGTGCACAACCCGATTGTGCTTCTCATGGGATGGATCGCTTGTCTTGGCACTGGAGTGTGTCTGCAACGTGATGTAGGTGCTAATGGAAGGACTAACGAATCATTTGCCAACAGCAACCAAAGAGCAGCCTTTCTCTTTCCTTTGCGATTGT